CATCTACCTTCCGCATATAATGACATTTTACCATCTCTACCCCAACAATTTGACAACAACCAAGCTTCCTGATACCAAGGATGGGATTATGTAACTAGAACAGGGAGGTTCCACAACTTTCACACCTCCCATCATGTTCTTGGACAATCAGCTTCTGCCTTGATACATTGTGATTGGGTTAAGGTATCTGTGATACCCGAGTGAATATAAAAGCTTCCCCCTCTCTCAGCTGGGCTGACCACACTGATGAAAAGGGAGGGACCTCTGAAGCCCACCAGATATGTTGGCCAATTTTAATGATGATAACATCTAATAAAATATATTCTGGACACAAGGGCCATCTTTAACCCCTTCATGACTGAGGCCCTTTTTTCCATTTTTGCACCCATGTTATATTCCACATTTTAGGCCTGAAAATGACGTAAAACCCCCCAACATTATATATTTTCTGAATGCCAAGACCCTATAGAATAAAATGGTGGTAGTTGAAAATTTTTATGTTGCGCAATATTAGCGCAACTCCTTATTAAACCCCAAAATTTAGTGACAAATTTAATTAAATGCCCCAAAACACAACAAATTACCCATTTTTTTAATAAAATATAAAAGATGAGGTTACAACGAGTAAAACGATACCCAACATGCCCAGTTTACAGATTGCGTGCGACCGTGAAACGGCAAGTCGCCAGGATCGCTTCTGTTGTAAAGCCGACAGTCGGCTCTACAAGTTTAAACAGACTCCCGGCGGCAAAAGTCGCCGGGAGTCTGTTTAAACAGCCCCGATGCTGGCGACGTACACTGTACGTCGTCAGTCACGAAGGGGTTAATATTGATTGGATCCTGGGCAAACATTTTCTTGGGCCCCTACCTACCAAGCCCCGCTCCCTACCCACCACACCCCTGCCACGCCACACCCCGTACCCACCACACCACCGACCTTGCAATTTCACTTGACGACCTCCTCCTGCAGAGCAGATAGGAGGAGACGTCACAGGGGGACGTGACCCCTGCATGAGACGTGAACCCGCGTACATCATTTGGTGTACCATAGGGGTGGAGTAACACCATGTGATACCGTTTGCATAGTAAACAGAACGGTACCGCATGTGTATCTTGTGCTGGCTCTAGGGGCAGCTGCTTTGGGCCCCACAATAATGACTGGGCCCAGGGCAACTGCCCCTTTTACCCCATGTTAAAGAGGGCCATGCTGGACAAACTCCAGGGGATTGGCGCTTTCATCTTCTACCCTCTCCTCATGTAAAAACTGTTTGTCTGCCCCTGTTTGCTGCTATGTAGTACGGAAGTTTTTTCACTTTATATTTTACAAAAGCCATGCCGATTATTTGACTGTGATCGGCTCCGGGACCCGTTAATAACACCACAATGTTAAAAAGAATAAAAGAACAATCCAAACTTATACAACATTTTAGCTTCTTATAAAACATCCACCAGACTTTTCGCTGACCATGGATGCGTGGTGTCTAAATATTTTATGGAAATTACAGAATGATCAGACGGGTGCATGTGACATTACACCCAGTCCCTAGGAAATCAGTATAAAATAATGTTCCCTTCCCTCTATTAACACATCTGTAATTGCCCGTCTGTCATGAGCATCCAAGCCTCCCTATGTTAATCACTGTGCTGCCTGTACTTGCAAGGCTGTCCCTACACTCGGGGATTTCCCCTTCCGTCAGATAGGCAAATCAGTAGTACAAGCTTAAGCAAGCAGGTATGCGTCACTTGGAATGCTTCCGTCTGCCTCACTCCTATCTCCATTAATAGAACACATCAGTTATAAAGCTGAACTCCAGGCCAATAAAAACACTAGGACTTGTATTTGTTACAGCTTAAATAACGAAATCTGCCCTGATATCGGTCTTCTGTAATCCACGTCGTAGCCCACCCACACTAGGAGAGACAAGGGCACCCTCAATACCAACCTTTCCCAACCTTCTTAACATGGAGGAACACTTGAAACCATACTCCGGTCTCAAGGAACCCCTACTAATAATTACTTTATGTATAGCTCATAATACATTAGTATTGTTGTGATATAAGAATGAAGATAAATGAGTAAAGAATCATGCGCATTCAGCCTGAGGGGGCAGGCTGGACAGCACCCCAACCTGGACTAATCCATGGCTGGAACCAGACTGAGTGCATGGCAGTTCCTCGGAGTGCATGGCAGTTCCTTGGGACCGTAATATACAGGGGTACAGGTACTCCTAGAATGAGATCCTAATAGGTTGGACTTGATGGACTAATGTCTTTATTCAACCTCAAATACTATGTAACTATGTATATATGCCTTGTCCCAGCATGCAACACTGGCTGTGAGAGCTCCAGTGATTGGCTGGTGAACTGTACACACACTCTCACAGTGACCCTCATTGGCTGTCCCACAATACAGCCGAGTCACACTCCATTCAGGCAGGTACAATCAATGCCAGACACCTGGATTTAACCAGATAAATGCCAACTATAATTCAGCCAGACTGACTACAGCTCTGGCAATCACTACATTTCACTACATTTCTAGTAGGGGCTACATTAGGGTTGCCACCTTTTCTTCAAGCAAAAGCCGAACACTCCAGTGACACACGGACATTTTTGGGGAGAATGAGTCATAGTTTATTCATATGTAAATAGTGTCGCCCATTCGTATGTAAATATCACAGTTGAGACTATTTTCAGTACGGGGCCAGTAGCCCCTATCTTAATTTTGGTTGCCCCTGTCTGCCTGATATCTTGTGTCCGGGTTTCAGCTGCCATGAAAACTGGACACCGCATTCAAAACCCGGACTGTCCGGGTGAATCCTGGACGGGTGGCTACATGTGGAAATGTTTTCTTAGTTCTTGTCCTGTTGACAATGGTTTAACGTCTAGTACTGTATAAGCTTTAGTTGTATAGTCACCGCCGTATTCCTCTTTCCTATCTCAGATGTACATTCTCAATGGACCTCGCTGCAACCAGAACACTGGAGCAAGGATCACGTGTTTGAGTGGCTTCAGTATTGCTGTGATAACTACAAGCTGGATGCCACGTGCATCCCCTTGTCCCAATTCAATGTGACCGGCCTCCAGCTCTGCAGGATGACCAAGGAAGACTTCACCGAGGCTGCGGGGGCCTGCGGACATTACCTCTACAGCCTCCTGCAGGATATTCGTTCACACGGTAAGCCTGACTGGAGGTCCTCCACAGACCTATGTGCTGGCATTACCTGACAGCAAGAAAAAAATAAAAATAAAGGGGAAATTCTTCTTATGTTACTTTAGAAAAAAAAATATCAGAAATGCGGTGTTGTGGTCTCTTCCCCTTGATTACCCCCCCCCCCACTGGCTGCAGGAAATGTTCTAAAGCTATAGAAAAAAAAAATCACTCTCATGATATTTTTTGATTGTATTATGTACGTTCCCATCAAAGCTGTTGCTTTGGGTCTGTTGCTTTTTATGTGTATAGATGGAGCATTGAGATCTTGAGGAATTCTGAATTCAGTTTTACTTGCTTAGAAGAACATTACATGTATGAATATCGATTGCCTTATGTGATCAGGAAGGAATTCATTTTCCCCTGTTGGAGCAAATTGAACCGTGCTTTATAGGGTATTTTTTTTTGCCTTCCTCTGGATCAACATTGGTAATTGTGGGCATAGTGTTCTGTTTAGGCTTTTCTTCTTTTCTTCTTTTTTTTTCTTTGTATCTCTATAGGTTGGACTCAATGGTCTTTTTTCAACCTGACTAACTATGTAACTATGTAACTATTATGAGAACATATAAAGAGAAAAAGAAACAACTTCCTGTGTATCATAGACGAGCATGAACAGAGAGACTAACATTGCGCTACAGTGCGATCTACAGCTCAAAAGGCAAATGACAGTACATTAGTATATGCTGTTGTATTTCCAACAAGAGCTACAATAAAAGTGATGTGGTTATATCGTAAAGCACTGTGCAAACTGTTGGCACTATATGAAGAATAATAATAATAATAATGTGTCTCTGCTTCCTGGAAGCTGTCCAAGTTACATAGTATTTGAGGTTGAATAAAGACATTAGTCCATCAAGTCCAACCTATTAGGATCTCATTCTAGGAGTACCCGTACCCCTGTATATTACGGTCCCTTAAGAAATCGTCCAAAAGTTTCTTGAACAATTCCACATTATTTGCTGAAATCACCGCCTGTGGCAGTGAGTTCCAGACCCTAACTGATCTTACTGTGAAGAACCCCCTTCGCCCCTTGTGCTGGAATTTTTTTTCCACCAATTTTAGGTTATGGCCTCTAGTTTTTGTAACGGAGTTAATTTTAAACAGTTTATCGCTAATGTTGCTACCACCATTAAACATTTTGTACATGGAAATCATATCCCCCCTTAATCTCCTCACCTCTAATGTGAACATGTTTAAATTTAGTAGCCTCGTCTCGTAGCTCTGGTCCTCCATGCCCCTAATTAGTTTGGTTGCCCTTCGCTGGACTTTTTCCAACTCAAGGACATCTTTTCTTAGTACTGGTGACCAGAACTGGACCGCGTACTCCAGATGAGGTCGAACCAATGATCTATAAAGTGGCAAAATTATAGACTTGTCCCTGCAATACATCCCCTTTTTAATACAGGACAAGACCCTGTTCTTGGTAAGCAGCAACAGGCAGGTCTTTAAATGGTCTGACCTATGATGACCTATCAAGCCTCCTGTATATAATGCAGCAGCAAAGCGAATGCAAAGTGGAGGGGGAGTTGAACCCTCAAGTTTAAACAACAAAGAAGGGAAGATGGGTCAGGAAAACAACCTGAACCAATTTTTCTATAAAATGTAATCTAACTTTGTACTTATTTCTCAGGAGCTCCACTGCTTTCCTGTACTGAAGAATCCCAGCCTACACGCAGCGTGGAATGTAAGTAGCAGAACTTATTTGATTCACTGGGAATTTCAATGTCATAGTCTGCAAATTGCAGAGATGTTCTCAGTGAGAGATGAGGGGTTTGTAGTAACATCACCT